CGAGGAGTACAGCTAGTTCGGATTAGGAAGCCTAATCCGAACTAGCTACTCCGTGCTGCGTGTAGCCGCGCGGCACGGGGTCCGAACTAGCCGGCATTTAAAAATGGCGCCGGCCGGCTTCATGCAAATGAAGCCCGGGAAATTCAAATCCCAGGCTTCATTTGCAACTGCGGATGACTACATTACCCCTGCTAGTTCGAACTAGCGGGGTAGTGCAGACATACCCCAATTGGATTACTGTGTCCACTTGTGGGCACATATTTCAATAAAGAGGTGGACAACTGGAGAAGGTCTAGAGAAGAGCAACAAAAATGATAAAGGTCTAGAAAACATGAGCTATGAGGAAAGACTGAAATAATTGGATCTGTTTAGTTTGTAAAAGAGAAGACTGAGAGGGGACATGATAGCAACTTTCAAGTACCTAAAAGGTTGTTAGAAGCAGGAGGAGGGAAATTATTTTCCTTAACCTCTGACGACAGGATAAGAAGCAATGGGGAAAATTGCTGTGAGGGAGTTTAGGTTGGGCATTAGGAAAAAACTTTCTATCAGCCAGTGTTGTTAACCACTGGAATAAATTGCCTAGGGAGGTTGTGGAATCTCCACCACTGGAGATTTTTAAGAGCAGGTTAGACAAACATCTGTCAGGAACGAGTTAGATGATGCTTGGTCCTGCCATGAGTGCAGGGGACTGGACTTGACCTCTCAAGGTCCTTTCCAGGTTTAGTATTCAGTGATTCTATGAACTGTGGATCCCAGAACTGGACACAATATTCCAACAGTGTTCACTTGAGTAAAGGTAATGTAACCTCCCTGGGCTTACTTGATGTTCCCTTATTTATACATTCAAGGATTTCATTAACCCTTTTGGACATAGTGTTGCACTGGGAGCTCATGGTCAGTTAATTATCCACTATGACTCCCAAGACCTTTTAACTCTACCCGCCCCCACACACACACCCTCACTGTATGTACAGCCTATATTCTTTGTTCTCAGATGCAGTTTGGCCTAGGGTTGCCAGGTGTCCAGTTTTGAACCGGACAGTCCAGTATTTGAGCTTTCTGTTTGGGAAACAAATTGAGAAAATACTAGACATATAAATTTCTGATATTTTCTAATTAAGTACGTTTTATTGTTATCATGAGTATCAGCAAGTAGTTGTGTACTGCCTGGCGGGTAGACACACTCACACTGCGTGAGCATATCCACCAGCCAGGCAGTACGCAGCTACGCAGTAGAGAGGAGGGGGGCAAGAGAGGAGGGGGAGGAGAGAGGGCTGGGGCGGGATGGAAGCCCTGCGGCCAGACTCACCTGTGCGCCCCTCCGGGACCTGCATGCACGTAGGTCAGT